AGAGTTCCATCCACCAACCCTTCCAGGCTGTAATTGATATTCAGGTGGCTGGCATGAGAGCTCTGGAGATTGAGTCTAAAAGCACAAGTCTCATCACGCTAGACATGCAAGACTATTGGTATCTTTGCAAACATGCATGGGGTGGGTATTTGCAGTATATCATGACAATTATAGGCTGATCGACCAACCCAGAATTAAATGTCACTTACATTTTTAAATTACATCTATCTTAAATCCATTGTATTTTAATTAACAACTTTCTAGTTAACTTTCCCTTTTTTTCACATTTGCATTCTAACAATGTAATCTCTTCTTAAAATATAAAATTGGAGAAAGAGAGAGAGAGAGAGAGGAGGGGGGGGGGAGAGAAAGGAAATTATAAATAAATAAACAAAAAAGTTATTTGTTGGCCATCTAATAAACATTCTTTGTTTAAATTTCTTTATGTCTTTATTTTTCTACTGGAGGTGTGAAAATGCATTTAATATTTAATGTTAGAGTATTTTTTCCCTTCACTAACTATCTGCATTAATAAATGCAAGTACACAAACACATAAGAGCTTCCAACATACCTGCAACAGCCAACAGTTCAGCATCTTCAATGTAATCTGGGTCCAGGTCTGTCAGTGGTTCTTGTTTCTCTTTGTGCTTCTGGAAAGTAAATGTAAAAATATGACAACTTTATTCTAAAAGGGAAATAAACAGGAAGAGAGTCAATAAAAAAAATTAAAATTTTATTTGTAAATTAATTAAAATTTAAATTGTTATAATTTAGTTAATTGTTAAAATGTAAACTAAATAAATTGTTAAAATGTAAACTAAATAATTAAATAATAATTAATTAATAATAATAATAATTAATCAATTAAATAAGTAAATAATAATATTTAATATAAATTAATGTTAAATGTAATGTTGGTATTGTAGTAGTACATAGAGGGTAATTACCACGGATGCTGAGAAATAGTGTTGACTATCAATTACTGAAGGGTTGTTCTTATTGGCATTATTCATGTCTTACTTTCAAGCGGTTATCAAGATCATTTTTCACAGCAGGAAATTAGTAGACAAACTCCAGGATCTGCTTTTACCACTTCATGTGGGGACAACAAACATCATTCTTCAGTTCTCGTGTTCATCATGTAGCTTCATATGACGGGTAAGATTTGATTTCACAGTGAACAAATGATGCACTCATGATCCACATCCATCTAGATGTGTATAAGAGACAGACAAATGGGCGTTATAAACAGAACTTAAAATAGCCTACAGCTTTGTACTCATCAACATAATATATTCATCAGTTTGTTTTATAACATGATCATTAAATTCATACATTAAAGTGATGCTGCTTCAGACACCCAAGGACCAAGGGGGCTGTACACAACTAAAGACTTAAGCCTGGTTCTCACGTGAGCCCTAGTATCCGGATCGGGAGCTAACCGTTAGCGCTAACCGTTAGCACCTGCGTGAGAACGGATGACTGGTTAGCGCTAATCGTTAGCAGTATCCGGATACTGCTAACGGTTAGCAAGTGCTAACTGGTATGTCCGTAGACAAAATAGCACCAACAGTACAAGTCCTGTCTCTTATACACATCTTACGCGTTTACAATTTCCAGTTTCTTATTGGCCAGTGATTCGATGATCATATTTTTGGTATCCGGATCGGGATTTTCTCGTATGGACGCACGGCAGCTAACGGTTAGCAGGATCTGGATCATGCTAACCGTTAGCTGCCGTGTGAGAACATAGCCAGTATCTTTAGAAACCTCTCATTATTGTTCAGAAAACTTTTCCGAAGTCTACACATTTTGATCTAGTCAGTCAGCATAGACTTTGACCTACTCATTTAATTAATGGCATCATACTCAAACATTAAGGGCATACAGAAAAAAATTATTAGAATACTGTATCACTTTTTTTTTAAGTGATAAGGGCGGGCTTTTTTTATTTTCTCTTTTTAATCAGATCAATAGAATATTGCCTTTTTTTTTATCGATGAGAGTGAAACTGTTTTTATTTAGTAAGAATATTGTAAATATTGAATAAAAATTGGTTTAATTTAATTATTTCTTAAAGAAAATGTATTTACAGTGACCAAATTGCATTTTTTTTTTTATGCTGTTGAAATAAATGATGCGGTAAAATTTTTTTTTTAAATCCACATCAATATTTTCCAAATTTTTGAGGCGGGTAGAAATGATAATCTAAAATTTTTTTTCTGTGTCCTAATACAGAGATCTTATTATTTGATATACG